TCTTTTTTTTAAAAAGTACTTTAAACTGTATAAATAATGTAAAATTAAATTGATTTAAGCAGCCAATCATACGAATGAAACCCTCAATATTTAAATTTTGATCTGACGCAATTGCATACAATGATTTGATACCTCAAATATTTGCTTACAGGTTTTGCCTTGGCAGCACTCATTTTGTGTACGGTTGGTTATCCGTGTGCTATGGTAAATCTATCATAGGACATAGATTTACCATAGACGTAACCAACTGTACACAAAATATACTTGAAAGCTCGATTGTAGGTTTTCCTTTGACGGCACTCATATGATGTCAAGGGTTATAAAAAAATTTTTTTTGATATACTGAAAACTGTAGAAATAGGAATATACAGTATATATATTCAATCGTTAATAATTATATAAAAGTGGAAGAATATATTCGATCACATTACACTTCATTCAAATGAAAAAAATTTTTTGTCGGTCTCTATCTACTAGGATGTTTAATTCAAAATTCCAACCAAGTTCGCAAAACTTAATTGCTTAAAAAAAAAAAAAAACGTAAAATTTGGAAATTTGGGTAAAGTTTATCAAGATACGTAAATAGTTACCCAAAATATTTGGCTTTTATGTGACGTTGTATAAAAGTAAATAAATATATATATATATAAGCATGTAAAACCTAGAAAAAGCACTATTATTAGCTGTTAGGTGTTTAAAGTTCGGTTAAACAAATAGAGATAAGCACCAACATATCATCCCTGCATGCGCGCAATCGTGCCTATGCATAATGCGAATTTAAGTGCTTGTATTACAAAAATAACTATCGTTATAAAGTAATTACGATTTAAACAAGAAGTGAAAAACTAGCACTTCTAATTTTTCATTAAACGATTGGTTGAATAATGAATAGGGGTGAATTTGGCAATAAATTGTCTTTTTAAACTTAATTTAACCTATTGCTATAATTAAATATTCAGATGCAATTACATAATTTCTATATATATATTTAATAATTATAGTGCTATTCTGAAATTCGCTTTTTTTAAGTAAAACTTATTCGGGTAATCTTCAATCGTGATCAGATCGACCATAGGTTTAAAAATAATCATCCAATCCTATCCATACGGAACATACGGAACATACGGAATATACGGTACGGGACATACGGAAAATACGGGACACTAGCAAAAAAGTATTCCAGATAGTTATATATTCATCTTCTAAAGGCTGGGTTCTTTTGCATACTGCAGTACTGTAGTAAGTTTCGACGACGCTTCTTTGAAGATAAAAAAGGCAGCATAAGTTTATATTATTAAAAATAGAAGGATGTACGTACGTACAGTACGTATGTAGTATGTAACAATATTAATTGTTACAATAAAAATCTGGTGATATTTCATTAATGATACTGTTATTAGACAATACCAGCTAGTTTGTGTACGTGTTTAAATAATATGCTATTACCCAGTTAATCATCGGATTATTTTTTTCTTTTTAAGGAAATGTAGTAAACAACCACGAGTTGTACTTTACTTTTCTAGAAGATCAACCATTAACTAAAATAACCATTTGGTACCTAAAATAAGAAAGACAAAAAAGGCGAATTGGAAATTCTTGGCAAACCAAAATTCGCCAAGACATGACTATTAAATATCAAAAAAAAAAAACTTTTTATTTTTATTGCTCTTGTTCGCCTTCGAAACTGTATTGTAACCAATACACTTATTTTGAAGAGAAATAAGAATACAACTATACACTAATGACTTCGAACGGCGACGGTAGCATTGCAACGAAATTGTCGGACACAAACTCTGAAATTTTAAATCCATTAGAACTCGAAAGTTCATCCAATTTTATCACTGAAATTAATGTCAATGATAATTATTCTGAAGAAAAGCGTTCACATACACCATTATCTTATCAAACATTGCAAAATGAGCTTAATTTTGATGAAAGTTCTGTATCAACTAAGCAAGAACAAATTTATCACAATTTTTCAAACAATTAAAACGAATCCATCAATGAATTCACCTTTTTCATTGGCTAATCTATTATCTCATGAATCTTTAAATTTCTCCACTCAATCGACGATTCAACAAAATAATTCTACACCAAATTTATCAACTTCACGAATTACTTATAGGACTTCATCAATGAGCTCTCGGATAAAAAGTTCTATTGCCAATAGAGTGAATGCTATAAACGCTAATGTAAAGACTTTATTAGATCTTATTAGGAGTCGTAAACAGAAAGCTTTAAGTCGTCAATTTTTAATAAATCCGGATCGTAAGGAGCCTGTTTTAGATATTCTAACAAATACTCCTTACACAAGTAATTCCATTACTACATCCCGATATACGTTTTATAATTTTCTTCCAAAACAACTTTACGCTCAATTTTCTAAAGGTGCAAATCTTTATTTCTTATTTATGGCTGCTCTTCAGATCGTACCAGATTGGTAAGTTTAAAAAAATTTATTATTATTATTTTAATCGAATTATTCGATTTTATATGATTTATATGATTTATATGATGTGAATTTATTATATTTTATTTTCAAGGTCTCCTACAGGGCAATTTACAACAATAGTTCCTCTTAGCATCTTCATTTCTCTATCTATGGCTCGTGAGGGTTTTGATGATTACCGAAGACATAAGCAAGATTTTGCTGAAAATAATAAAGAGTGTGCTGTATTTCATAAATGTGATTCAGATGGATCATGGAAAAATGAAAAATGGAAAGATTTAAGAGTTGGTGATTTAATATCAATTAAAGCTCAAGAATGGGTTCCCGCAGATGTGTTATTACTTTCTTCCAAAGGTGAAAATGGCGTGTGTTATGTCGAAACCGCTGCTTTGGATGGCGAGACTAATTTAAAACAACGTAAAGCTTTAGAAGAAACAAATTCTTTATTGAATTCACCTGAGTCTCTATCAGAATTCAGAGGTACACTATGTTCTGTGATTGCTATATAAATTATTTAATCATATTCAATTCATTTATATTCTTATTTAATACAGGAAAGTTACACGCTGAAGGTCCTGATGATGATTTATATAACTTTAATGGTTGCCTGAAATTCAATGACAAAACTTTACCGTTGACCAATAATCAAATTTTATTAAGAGGTACTATACTGCGTAACACTCCAGAGGTCTATGGATTAGTGATCTTTACTGGTGAAGAAACAAAACTTCGTATGAATGCTTCCAAAAATATACGAACAAAAGCTCCTAATATACAAAAAATAATGAATCGTGTCATTATTATCATTTTCGGCTTTGTTCTCTTATTGACTGCCGTATGCACTTTCATGTTTTCTTATTGGTCAAATAATATTAAAGAACATGGTTGGTATTTGAGAGGAGGAAATAGAGATATGTCTTCCGTATTTTTTTCTTTCTTGATAATTTTCAACACTATGATACCGATATCTTTATATGTAACAATGGAAATTATCAAGCTTGCTCAAATTTATTTTATAAATAATGACATACGAATGTATAATGAAGAAACTGATACTCCAGCTGAATCTCGAACTTCTACTATTAATGAAGATTTGGGTCAAGTTAATTATATATTCTCCGATAAGACTGGAACTTTGACTGAAAATATAATGCTTTTCAGAAAATTAAGTGTTTGTGGATTAAAATTTTTACATGATAAGGATGGTAACATAATTGACGAGGACGATTTATTAAAGTTATTTTCTATGCCTTCATCAATTTTAAAGAAGAGACCTACTATAACTTCAATTTCATCTTTAAAAAGACATAAGCGTAGGGCTTCTTTGTGTTCTGATGATCATAATGATAACGCTGATGAAATCACACCAGTAACTCGCAAAAATTCTGTAAATAGCAATTTCTCCATGATTGCTCCGCGTCCAGCAACTCCTTCATCAACCACAAGATCTAAAAAAACATTAGAAGATAATTCAATTTTAAATACAATTGATTTAATGAATTTAATACATTATCTACCAAATTCTTCTTTTGAGCAACGCGTAAAATTTTTTTTACTTGCCATGGCACTATGTCATACATGTGTACCGGAAATCGATCAAGAAACTGGTGATATAATTTATCAAGCTGCCTCACCTGATGAATTTGCTATAGCTAATGCTTCTAAAGACTTGGGATACGTCATCACAGATCGCTCTATGGGAAATATTTCACTTAGAATTGATAATAATATATTTAATATATCCGATGGAAACAATGTTTTAGATAAAGACAATGCTAAAAACAATGTTTTAGAACAAACTTTTCAAATATTAAATATCTTAGAGTTTTCAAGTAAACGTAAGAGGATGTCCGTAATATGTAGGCTCCCCAATGGTAGAATATGTTTATTTTGCAAGGGTGCTGATTCTGTTATTATGGAACGACTTCGAGTTGCAAATGAAATGGATGCGACAGGCAACAAATATGAAGTTGACTTATTTGATACTGACTTGGGGAATAATGGATCAAAATTTGTTAATAATACTCATTTTAATTTAAAAACAACGTTAAATAGTAATTATCCAACAGCGATAAAAACTGATGAAATTGTGGATAGGGCTGTTGATTTATTTCCCATCCTAGATGATAATTTGATATGTCAACAAACGATACAACATATTCATGAATTCGCAATCGAAGGTCTTCGAACTTTATTATATGCATATCGTTATATTGATGAAGAAGAATATGTGTTGTGGAATGAACAATTTCAAGAAGCTTCAAATTCTTTAACAAAAAAACGAGAAAATCTTGAGGGAGTAGCAGAATTAATAGAACGTGATTTGGAAATCATTGGTGCAACTGCTATTGAAGATAAATTACAACATGGTGTACCAGAAACGATAGATAAATTACGTTTGGCTGGAATAAAAATTTGGATGTTAACCGGTGATAAACGTGAAACTGCAATAAATATTGGACATTCATGTTCACTTATAAAAGATCATTCAATAATAATAAATATCGATCGAAACAATACTTCAGATCTTAAAATGATCAGTAATATATCAAAGGATAAGGTATCTCATATGGTAATAGTTATAGATGGCGAAACATTATCAATAATCGAACAAGATGAAGAACTTATGGAATGTTTTTTTGGATTCAGGAATCGAATGTGACGCGTTAATATGTTGTCGAGCGAGTCCATCTCAGAAAGCACTTATGGTTCGTAGTATCAGAGAAAAATTAAAAGACTCTGTTGTAACTTTAGCAATTGGTGATGGTGCGAACGATATTGCAATGATACAAGAAGCACATGTGGGAATAGGAATAACTGGTCGAGAAGGTCTACAAGCTGCCAGGTCAAGCGATTATTCAATTTCACAATTCCGTTTCTTAGAAAATCTTTTATTCGTTCATGGTCGATGGTCTTATGTTCGAGTATCAAAGTTTGCACTAGGAACATTATATAAATGTATGTGCTTTTACTTGACGCAAGGAATATTTCAAATATTTGCAGTATTTTCTGGAACTAGTTTATACGAATCATGGTCACTTGCCGCTTACAACACTTTATTTACATCATTACCCGTATTGGTTGTTGGAATATTTGAAAAAGATTTAAATTACGATACATTAATGGCAATTCCAAGACTTTATAAAAATGGGCAAGAAAATAAAGAATTTAATATAAAATTATTCTTTTCATGGATGTTTGGAGCAATATTTCACGCTATAGCTCTAACTTCTGTACCAATATTATTACATGGATATTTTATGGATTATGAAATTAGAGTTAATGGATCCCCTCAATTATTTGAATTGGGAATGATAATATACACATGTGTTGTATGTGTAGTAACAATTCACATCTCATATTTACAATGTCATAATTGGACTTTTCTTTCTCATTTTACCTCATTTTTAATGATATTTGGATGGTTCACATATCAAATTCTGTATTCCTTTGCGTACCCAATTGAGAGCAAATCAGCCATGTATGATGTTAGGGGCGTGTTTCAAAGAGTTGGAAATAGATTTAATTTTTGGTGTGCGTTGCTTTTATCCATATCATTTGCCTTGCTTCCACATTATCTTCTTAAAACACTTAGGAATATGACGAAACCTACGGAATTAGAGCTTTATCAGGAAGCTGAGAAAGATCAAAAATACTTGGAAAAACTTATAGAATGTGAAAATACCAGGGATGAAAATTCCAACGAATACAAAAATGATGAAAAACATGATACAAAATTCATCGTTGGCCAAATGCCTTTCCAAGATGACCAAAATTTTAAATCATCGGCTAAACGAAATTCCTCACCTCTCGCACACTATCAAAATCCCCTAACACCAATCGAAATTAACGAAAATACGGCACAGATGATTTGTTATGAACAAAAAGGATGTCGAAAAATATAATCAACTTTTTTTTTTTTTTTTTTTTACACGAACGTTAAGCTTAAAAAAAATTCACCATTCACCTTTTTTTTTGAAATACGTCTTTACGTATTATTGTAAAATTAATTAATAATTTTTGTATTATATTTATCATACTTGTAATGCTTTTTTTTTTTTTTTTAGACTAAATAAACGCTTTTAAATAAGTCACCCAAGAATTTTATAACTTGTAAATTTGTATTTTGTTTATTTATTTTTTTATTTATTTACTTTTTTCGATGATTTGTAAAAAATCGACCCTGCCGGGTAATGCGAATTAAGACTTTTTTCTAAATTCAATTACTGAATTAATTCAATTAAATCAATTAAGACAGTAAAAACAAATATTTATTAGTTTAAAATGTTATACTCATTACAAATTTTACATTAAAATATTTAGAATTGAATAATAAAAAAAAAATTCTTATCAAGAAAGAGTGCCTTGACGTTTATCATTATTTTTTAAACTCTGAAAGAAAACATGATTCATCGCTTGTTTCGCTGTTAATCGAGAATTTGGATCTTTACAACATAACCCCGAGATGAATTCAACTGCACATTGAAGATTTAATTCTCGTAATCGAGAGTAGTTTAAATCGTCAGAAATTATCCTCCCAAGTATCAAATCATCTGGATCATTTTCATCCATAAAAGGTAAACTTCCTGTCAACGCGTGATAATTAAGTATTCCAAAAGACCACATATCAACAGCGCAAGTGAAATGGCATTCTCTTTTACCGTCGACTAGTTCTTTGGCAATTTCGTAAGCCATATAAGCAGGTGAACCTATTAATGTGTGCTCAATAGGATCGCGTGAATGTTCAGCTTTGATAAAAGATTTTGCTAAACCGAAATCAATAAGTTTGACAGTCTTATGAGATTTATCCAACATAATATTTGAAGCCTTAATATCTCGATGCATATAACCATTATCATGCATATATTGGATAGCATCGCAAATTTGATGCGCAAAGTCAGTCCAAACATCAAATTTAATTTGTTGTTTATTAATCAAAGATGATAAGCTTCCACCGTCCAGAAGTTCTAAAACAATGATTGTATGTTCGGGGCCTTTAAAAAAATCATAAAATTTCACAATGTTTTTGTGTTCTAATTTACCGAGAATGGTGACTTCTTCAGATATACGATCATATAATTCTGATCGCGTGCTTTCTCGAAACATATATTTACAAGCGACGTCTTCATTATTTGTGGTGTTGAGTCCTTTCAAGACTATACCGTGAGCACCCCTATTATAATAAAATAAATAAATAAGCTAAAATTAACCGGGTTATAGTAACTAACATTTTATGGATTAGATTCGATAGGTTTATTATCCGGCTAGCTCTTTTTATCCCGGATAATTTTAGCAATATTCAAAATACATCAATATAAATAAAAAAAAAAATTTTTTTTTTTGTTTTAGTAAATTGGGAAGTATATACTTACTTTCCAAGAGAATCTTCTACTGATCTAACTTGATAAATAGATTCTGGTATTTTATATTTTTGATTTATTTTTTCTTGAACATTGAGATATTCACTATCAGTATATTTAATAGCTATAAATAAAAATATACATTATTGACAAAAATTTACATTAATATTTTTCAAGAAAAAAAAAAAAAATGAAATTTATATTTACATATGAATTTATTCGGAAGTTCACCAATTCGTATCACATCTTTTCTGCTTAATGGCTTCGAGTTACCGAGCCCAATTCTTTTATCGTTAACGAAAGTTGACGAATTAAATGAAAGGTCTCGGACATATGTTATATAGTTGCATCCTTCAACTACAGGATCTCTTTTCTATAAAAAAAAAATTAGGATATAGATTTAGTAATAATTAAATTAACAATCGTACATTATGTAAACGAAACTTTGACATCACCACTATCACAAACTGACAATGTATTTTACCGATCATATAGTCTTCACCAACAAAGATTCTACCTTCATTGCATCCGGGAAGTGTCCCAACACAAACACTTGTTTTCTCTTCGCTTAGAGAAAACGATACGATCGGATCACAATCAATCCGGAACGTTGCAATAGGTTCCGTACTTTTTGGTGGTGGTGCATTAATGCGTCGTCTGTATTCAATATGTTCTTGTTTGAGGTAATTATTCACCGGTTTACTCTAAACAAACGTTTTTACTAACACTTTTAAGTATATTATGCTTAATGTATTACTCGTCAATTAAAATGTCAGTGAATTTCGTCTATACTTACCAATTTTTGTCTTTTTGTTCGCATTTTTTGAAAGTCTGAATTAAGCAGATTGTGTAAATTTTTTTTTATTTAAATAGGCATAATGCTTGAATTCTCATTGGTCGATCAAATAAATTATCACTTCCCATTGTTTCTTAAAACAAATGGCTTCGCAATACGTTAAATGCATAATAGCTGGAGGATTTACACTAGGGTTTGGATATTTACTAATGAAAGTTGTTACACCCACTAAAGAACAACTTTACGAGGTTAAAATTTTTATTTTATTTACTTTAATGTGAGTCTGAAAGTTTGAAATTAACGATTTCTAATTATATTAAAAATGTTAAAAATGCTATAAATTCAATTCACTACGGTTCAACTACGATCTACGAATTAATTAAAAAGAAATTATCACCGGACCTAAAACATAAACTCGACTCTCAAGAACAACGTGAAAATAATGTTGCTGTAATGGAATTAATGAAAAAAGTTGCAGAATCAGATAAACCAAGTTCGTTCTTTTCCGTTCACTATTTTTTATCTTGTACAACTATTTGAATTCTTTTTTAATTAACTTTTACTCAATTGCAAGTATACGACCATTATCAACTTCGGGATTTGCAAAAGGAAATAAATAAAGGATAGGATGTTTTTTCTAGAAATGTGTGAAACGCGTTAAAGATCAAAAATAAAACAAGTTCAAAATTTTTATTTGTCATTGCCACCAAATCTCCATCTTTATTCTTGTTTAATGATCTTAAGGGGTAGTTAGGGCTCTGTACGATCCAAACACGAGCACAATGTTTTAATAGTTTCAGGCGTGTTTCCGGGCACCATTTTTTAATAGTCAGTGCCTGGCATTTGCAGAGCCTTAAAGGTGAATCTTAAAGCCACCTCACATTTGAAATGATCAATTCAATATTATTTTGAAACCAATCACCAGGACTAATACTCATTTGAAAATCACTTCTCAATTGATTTTTAAACGTTTTCTTATATAACCATGATAAGGGCCATAAAATTAACCAAAGACATGTGATAAATGATATAAATTTTACCCAAGCATTTCTTAAAAAATGAGCCAACTTATGACCAGATTGAACTTTAACAATGTGATTACGAAGTGGATAAGTGATACGAATGTCATTTCGAAATCCTTGTTGTCGAATTGTTGAAGAGATTGCTTTTGTTAACGATTCATAATCCCAGATTACAACCTAGTTTTTAAATAATTTTTTCAGATTTCAGATTTCAGAAAATAGCAATAAAAAAATACGAAAAATTAAAATTAATTGAATAAATTAAGACTAATGATAAAGAACGTACCTTCCGCATCTCAATTTCTTTTAAAAGATTTTCGTGTTCGACATATTCCCTCAAAACCTGCATGATCTCTACTGGTGGATGGTTTTTTTTCGGAATCGTGTACATAACTCCTGTGGGTAAAATATAACTTGAAAGGTCTATAGTCAACTTAAAATCAATAACCTCTACGTTTCTTGATTGATCAACTCGACGAGAATTCCCATCTGAATCAGTAGTATAGTAACTATCGTCTATTGATTCTGTGTGGTAACCCTTTGAAAAAAAAATATATGAAATCGGTCTTTATCGCTAATAATTTTTGAAACAATAGAAATAGATAAAAAAAAAAAAAAAATACCGTAACAGTTATCGCCATTTGAGGTTTGTCATTCCTCGCCACAAAAAATCTATATAATGATTCAGCATCTGTATTCAATTTATGATCAAAAGAAGTAACACCTTTGGCACTGGTTTTATAGGATGCATCAGACAATGAATATTCAGGAGGTGGTGGCATAATTGCAGGTACAGATGTTCCAACTGATGATGTAATTGTTCTATTAGTAGACGAATTATCATCATTATATTGGTTACCCTTATTTGAAATATGGCTTGATTTATCAGTACTAGAACCAGTTGTATTATCTGGCAAGAGAGGTGCATGCTCTGAGACAATTTCTTGATTTTCTTCAGGGAAAACTAAAACTTCTTCAAAAGATTGTGAAACGGAACGAGCTACAGGTGTTATGACAATGCTTGAAGGATTTACAGAGTTTCTAACTGCTTCCTCATAACTTGGTAACGTTGTGTTTGCTGTAGTTTGTTGAATTAGTGATGTTGACGATGGGTCACTATTTCGCGCATTCGTTGCACTGAAAACGAAGACATAGTCCGAGTTATCAGTCATATCAGTCATGATGATCAAGGTGAACGCAAAACACTTGAAAAAAAATTAAAAATTCCGACAAAGCTTTGATGATTAAGAGGTGTAAATTAAAAATCATGTGACGCATATAAATTGCTATATACCTGACTTTAGTCGATCTTCTAAAGATCTACGTAATTAGTGATGTGAGTTGGTGAGACGCGGAAATTAAGTGATTTAGTGTGATTAAACAAAATCGCATAATTTTACATCATTTATATCATATCAATGTCACATGTATATTCTCAATAAGAATGTTAACAGCTTTTTGTTATAAATAATTTTTAGTAGTAGTTATGTTAAAGTGGAAATAATTTTAGGGATCTTTGCTAGGAAAATCGGCCTTCGGTATTTTCCGATCGGGCTAATTCGGAAAAGCTTAGACCAGAATGCCGTTTCTTATTCATATGTAAATCACCTTTTGCTTTATTGATTCGATAGTTTATTAAATAAACTGTCGAATCAGTAAAGTAAAAAAATGGGTTACATATGAATAAGAAGCGGCATTTGGTCTAAGCTTTTCCGACGGAAAATACCGAAGGGTGATTTCCTAGCAAAGATCCCATATAGTATGTTAAAGCCAGTGTTGGAAATCTGTTTTGAGATTTATGTTCTCATGAGAACAAATTTATTTAATTTAATGTTCTCAGAAATTTATTTATGTTCTCAAAGTAAAAATAATTCAATTTTAATAATATGCTAACGAATAATTTAATTTATATATAGTATGTTAAAGCGCGAAACACTACGGGTAAATTAAATAGTTTTTAGTAGCATGTTAAAGCGTAAAAAAATGGTATTAAAATCTAAAATAAATTTATTATTTTTTGATATGAGCCCAAAAAGGATTATATCGAGTTGAATTTAATGATTTCTATAGATGATAACAAACTTATGTGTAGATTTTTCTATAATTTTATTTTAAAAAATGTTTTACAAATTCTTATTACATAATTTCCGTGTCCCTACCATTAGCTAAACCAATAGTATATTAATGTAATGCCATACATTGCTATCGCTATGAAATTAATCATTTTGACTAGTAGATCTACCGATAACTACCAAGCTACCGGACTTTACTTATTGCACGAAGGTCGATTTGTGTATAAAAAAATCACGGTTTATACAGTATGTAGATCTTCGTGAGTGTACTTTCAGAAAAATCACAGGTGATGTATAAGTAGTTGAGGATTGTTAATTCGATGTTGATGATTTTGCGCATTTGAGCAGCTTTAGCTTCCAAACTTATGTTAAATAAAGAGCTGTATGCAGAACAACCCTAGCGTCGCCTGGAATAAATTGTAGCCGGATTTTTTTCTGGCCTTCACATGACTTCGGAAATTGATTTCCGGGTTTAAATTCTTGGTCGACAATTCACTTTAATATCAATACCAAAAAGAATAATTTTTTAACTAAATTGTCCGGTTAGTATATTGCATAAAAATATTGAGTACTAGAGTCATAACTACTAAGTATGCACGTTCTTTTTTTTATTAATTATGAAAAAATTAAATAACATTATTATTGTATATATTTATTGCCTACCACGAATATGGAACTAAATTTCTTTAAATATTGTAAGAGAATATACAGTATATTCCCTAAATGCTTGCTAGCGAAGATAAGATGCTAAAAAAATTATTATTCCCAATACATCGTATTATTGTTAAAATCCTGCCATGTTTTTGGCATTGTCTTGCGATTATCT